TTATTTTCCTCAGTGAGTGAGTGAGTGAGTGTGTGTGTGTGTGTGTGTGTGTGTGTGTGTGTGTGTGTGCCTCTTTTACCAAGCTATTGACTCTCTTTTTGTAATTTTCTTGCATCACTCCAATTTCCCCCTCCCCCAATTTTTCCTTTACCTCTCTTTTTTGATTTTTAAAATAGGTTTGGAGCTTTTCCAGGAATTCTTGTTGAGCTTATATCCAATTCACACTTTTTCTTTAGGTATTTGCTTGTAGCTGTTTTGACTTCGTTGTTTTCTTCTGAGTTTGTGTTTTGATCTTCCCTGTCAGCGTAGTAGCTTTTTATGGTCAAGTTCTTCTTTTATTTTTGTCTTTTTTACTCATTTTTTTCGGCCCACTTCTTGACTTTTAACTTTATGTTAAAGTTGAGCTGTGCTCCCAGGGTGGAGGGGGCATTGTCCCAGGCTTTAGCTTTTTTTGTGCTCCTGTATTCAGAGCTAATTCTGGGGGTCTATATGTTTTTGGTGCTCCAAAGCTGGTCTGATTGAAGGAGAGGTGCAGTCACTTTTCTCCCTGGCCTTTGCTCTGGTCTTTACCCAGGAAGAGACCTTCTTCTCCTGCAGCTGCAAGTGCTGGTGCTCCTCTTGGCCCTGGTACCGTGACCAGATCCTCTGCCCTCCTGCAGCCACAAGCACTAATGCTCCTTTCTGCCTTGGAACTGAGACCAAGGCCCCTGCTCCTTTGTGAGCAACCATAAGTGCCCTTTGCCACCCTGTGACTATGACCAGTGCTTCTACTTCCCTGCAGAAACAAGCACTTAACCATGGAGCTGTGACTGGGAACTGCCTATGGGCAATGCACCAGGGTGCTGCACTCAGTGCCCGCAAAGGGTCCCTTGTAATCTTTCTCTGACTAGTAATTGCTGGGCTGAGAGCTCCTGAAGCTTTTGCTGCTTCTGTCACAGCCACCTCCAAAGCTCGCTGTGGATGTTACCACCAAGTGTGCTGAGTTCTAAACTGGTGCCCATCCTGGTATCACAGACCTCTCCTGCCAACCTCCTAGGTTGTTTTGTGCTGGAAAAAATGTCTCACTCCAATCTTTTGTTTGCTCTTCCACTCCAGAATTCAATTTGAGACATTATTTTAAAGTTATTTGGAGAGGAATGTTGGAAGAGTTCAGCTAAGTTGTTGCCTGTACTCCACCATCTTGGCTCTGCCAAGAGTGTAGAATTCTTAAGTCACATGCAGCATATATGCATACTCATGTAGTCAATAAACATGTATTAAATGCCCATTATGTGCCAGTTGGTTAAAAAAATTATTAAGCACGCACTATGTGCTAGGCTTTGTGTTAAGTGCTGAGTATACAAAGAAAGACGAAAGCCCCTGCTCTCAAGGAGCTTGCAGTCTAATAAGGAAACAACATGCAAACAACTGTGTACAAACAAGCTATATACAAGATAAATAAGAAATTATCAACAGAGGGAGGGCTCTAGATTTGAGATGCATATGCACTCTTAAACAAAGAGTCAATACCTGACCCCAGAGGAGTCTCAGTGCTGGTTGTTCACACTTTATATGCAAGAATGGAAACACAATGGAGTTGGTTTGGGAAGTGGAGAACTTTCACAGAGGGGTGTTCAGTGCTGCTCTTTCTATGTCAGGCTACTTGCCATGTATGGCCATCAGTAACCTGGAGGTAATAGAATGAGAAAAATTTGCTTGTAATTTTGGGCATATAATTTGGCAAAATGGGACATTGACTTCTGACCTACTATCTATCTATCCATTCGCCTATTGTTTGTATATAAGCAGTATTAATAATAATGATGATTGACATTTATACAGTACTATTAGGTTTGTGGAGTGCTTTATATATATTATTGCATAAGCAGGAAAGCCAGTATTCTAATGAAAATCCATGAACTCCACATCTTCTGCTCGTACCCATTTTCAAGGCTGGCTCTGCCCTCCAGGATGGCAGCTTGCCATTCATCCTGGTCATCTGGAGGTGGAGAGACGGGTTCCATCTTAGCAGGAATTAACACCCTTATGTTTGATACAAAAAGAAATTGGAACTGAAGGAAATTCAGTGATTCCCAGAATCATAGTATCTCAAAGTTGGTAGGAGACCTTAGTCACCAACTACTTCAGCCTTGAAATCCATGCAGGAACCCCTTGTAGAGTATCCCTTAACAGATCCCATCAGGCATCTGTTGGATTGATTTGACCAACAGGTGGCTTGCATCCTCATGAGTCAGCATGTTTCATGGTCAGTCCCGTCCCTCTGTTCAATAACCCTAGGAGGTAGGTGCTATTATTATCACCATTTTACAGATGAGGAAACTGAGGCTGAGGAAGGTTAAGTGATTTGACTAAGGTCTTACAGCTAGGAAGTATCTGAGGCAGCATTGAAATTCAGGTCTTCCTGACTCCAACATTCTATCCAGCTTCCTGACAGAATTTCAGATATTTGAGTAGAGTTAGCATGGTATCCCTAGGTCTTCTCACAGGCGCATATAGCATACTAGAAATAGCAAAGGACTGGAAGTTATATATTGTCTCTCCCATAAGAATGTGAACTCCTCGGGAGCAAGAACTATGGGTTTGTTTCTCTTTGCATTTATTTCCAGCACTTAGCACGATGCCCAGCTCGAAGTAAGCCCCTGATAAAAGCTTGTTGACTGATTAACAGGATTGTTGAGCTGGAAGTTCTTGGCAGGCCTTACTCCATAAAATTTGAGTTGCTAATGTTATAAATTTCTCAGTCCAAACCAGTCCTGTGGCAGCCTGAGTCCACCTGCAATTGAGTAACCTCCCTTCCCCCTCCCGTCCTTTCCCCCTCCTCTCTTTCCTTTCTCCTTCCTCTCCCTCCCTTGACCTATGCCATATAAAGACAATGGAGGAGGATTGTGCAATGCTTGGGCTCATATTCTTTTTCGGATTCTGAGCCTTCCGGCCAGGGGGTCTTAGCTGGTAGTGCAGAGGGAGGAACCTTCACTAGAACTCTTAAAAAAAAAAACCTGAAAAAAAAAAGTGAGAAAGAGAGACAGGAAACCATGTCTTGTGTTCTCTGTCTCTGTCAAGCGTCTGTCTTGTGCTAATTTTGAACCAAGCTTTATTTTTCTTTATTTATAAACCATCGGCCTACTTGGGGAGAGTCTACTTTCTTCAGTGAAATGCTGTCTTAGGCCAATCCGAATGACAGAAGTGGAAGGCACCTTAGAGGTCATTTAGTACTGCCTCTCCTTTTTTTTTACAGAGGGGGAAACTGAGATCCGGAGAGGATAAGCCCATTGTTCAGTAAGTAGTTATTGCTGGCCTCACACAATGGCCTTCTGAATCTTTTGACTGGAAGTCCTGTGCTTTTTTGGACTCCATCACAATAGAGTGACTTCATAATTTGGTGACATGAGCCCACTGTCTGATGATTTTTAATCAAGACTTGTGCTTACTTCCTCTCTGTAGGTTTGAGGGGGCAAGGGCAGCACTGAAGAGGTTGACGATGTCATTCTAGGCTCTATGTGTGTAATTCATGCAGCTGAGACCACCTGAGCAGTGGTGACTTGGGTTATAGCCGCATAGACCAACGGCTAGATTTTCATCTGGTGTCAATAACTGTCTCAGGGCATTTAGCATGTGACCTACTCATTTGGGCTTTTCCCCATAAATATGCAACCAACCCTTTATTGAAATAACAGCATAATTATTCAAACATTATTAGTATTCCAATAATAAATTCAAGAGAAGATATAATTTGGAGTAAGGTTCAAAGGAATTCAAAGACCTAGGTATGAAAATGACAGAGCTATTAACAATAGTCATTTAGGCAGCTAGGTGGTGCAATGGATAGAGTGTTGGGCTTGAAGTTAGGTAGAACTGAATTCGAATCTGACCTCAGATACTTGCTAGCCGAGTGACCTTAGCAAGTCACTTCAACTGTTTGCTTCACATTTCCCATCTATAAAATGGGGATGATAAGAGCATCTACCTCCCAAGGTTGTTAGGATTAAATTAGATAATTGTGAAGGGCTTAGCACAGTGCCTGGCACACAGTAAGTGCCACATGAATGTTAGCTTTATTCTGTTAGTATAACAATGTTATACTAAATGTTAGCATTATTCTGACTAGCTCAAGATCTTTTATCCCTTATGTTAATAATAGTTCCCAAATTCTATAACACATTAAGGTTTACAAAACCTTCTTTTCAGAACAGCCCTTCCACTGTGTGACCCTGGACAAGTCATATAACCCCATTGCCACTGAATCCTTAGGATTTCTGGCCCTTCCATCCACTCTGTAGCTGAATTTAATCTTAGAGTACGAGCTCCTGTAGAGTAGGGACTATCTCATCTTTTCTGTGCTTAGCACAATGCTTGGCACATAGCAAATACTAATTAAATCCCTTTTGGTTTATTTGTTCATTCAGACACCTCTCTAAGCCTCATTTTTCTTATTTATAAAATTGGGGTGATGATAGAACTTATCTCCTAGGGTTGTTGTGAGGAGTTGAGATAATATTTGTAAAATGCTTTAAAAACCTTAAAATGCCAGGTAAATGTTACTTCCTCCTCCTCCTCCTCCTTCTCTTCTTCCTTCTTCTGCTACTCTTCCTCCTCTGCCACTCTTCTAGTCTCAAGTAAATCTACTCCTCACCCCATTTTACAGAGGAATAAACCTAGACAAAGTTTTAAGAAGAATAATCAAAGTTCACCCCACTTTCAGGATTCAGGCATAGCTCTCCTCAACCCCAAAGTCAAGACCATCAGAGATACATGGGATTACAATGATAGAAAAACAAACTTTTATTATTTTTCAAGGTGCTTTTTTGAAACAAGAAACAAAGGTCACATTTCCACTTTGATTTTATCTTAAAAAAAAAACCCAAAACAACTTTGTCTCATTTTCTCTATCTATTAAAAGGACAGGAGGAAAGGGAGGGGGTGGATTGAATAATCAGTGATTTTTTTTCTAGTTTCAATCTTCCTATTATGTGACAAGTATATGTATGCTGGTGAGCACTTACCTTCAAGTTAGAAGATCTGGTTTGAAATTCTTTCTCTGCCACTTATTAATTATGTGACCTTAGGCACATAAGAAGCAGGAAGAGGGCTACACTTGGAGTCAGATGATCTGGGCATAAATCCTAGTCTTTAAAACTTATTCTTGGGCGTTCAACTTCTCTGGGCCTCAGTTTCTTCATCTGTAAAATGAGGGGCTAGACTGGATGATCTTGTAAGTTGCTTCTGTTTCTTAATTTATAAACCTAATGTTGCCCTCTGGAGCCCCACACAAAAAGTGCCTTCAGAGCTTTCACTTCAAGGACCTGAAATTTTGACAGTGGACCTCCCCGAAGTGACATAGATTTTAGTCCTTCTCTGTCTTTCCTGAGACACCATGGCTGAAAAAATTCATCAATCTGGTGATGAGCTTCTCCCACTTATCTGTGTACATTTATGTTCTCCCTTCCCCCACCTTATTTTATACAAGAAGGAACTGAGGACTAAGGAGGTTTAAACAGCTTGCCCAGTGTTGCCCAGTTGATGGGAGGCAGAGCCAGGACTCTGCTGATTTCAAGTTCACTGCTCTTTGCACTATGCCCTGCTATCACATTTCAAAGTTAAGAAAGATTCTCAATTGGGTGTCCAGATAAGTACTAACTAGAAAAGTGTGGCCTTCCTAAGAAGGTACTGATTTGGTAATTCTTGGGTATATTTCCCGACTCTCCAGCCGTGGTGAAAGTGATCACCTGTCAGGCATGTTTTCCTGGGGATTCTTTTTCAGGTTTGGGTGGGGCCTTCAGGAGGAAAGCAGGCTCTTTGAGTTAAGGGATTGCTTTTATTTTTGTCTGCTTCTTTGTCTTATACTAATACTTGTTAACAAGCTGTTAAGAAACATAGAATAAGCAGGTAGTATGTGCCAGGCATTGTGTTAAGTGTGGAGGAAACAAACAAAGAAAAAACAATGATCTCTGCCCTCAGGAAGCATATGCTCTAGGGAGACTGAACTTGCAAACCATTACTTACACACAAAATATTTTGTAAATGGAGGTAATCTCAGAAAGGAAGACCCTGGAGGAAGAGTTTTTGAGAAGGAATAACAAAAGCTTTTGGCAGAGGGTAGGTTTTAAGTTAAATCTCCAAAAAGGCTAGAGACAGAGATAGGGAGGGAGAAGATTCCAGGGATAACAGAGATCCAGTGATAAGACATGGAGCTGGGGATGGAATGTTATGTAGGAAGAACAACACGGATAGTTATTGCTGGATATTTAGAGCCAATGGAGGGGAGTGAAGTGTCAGCAGATTGCAAAGGTAGGAAGAGCTTTTAGAGCCAAACAGAGGAATTCATATATCATCCCAGAAGTAATGGGTAGACAATGACGATTATTGAGTAAGGGAGTGAAATGGTCAGACTTTTGCATTAGGTCAATCTCTTTGGCAGCTGAGTGGAGAATAGAGTGGAGTTGGGGGAGACTTGAGGCAGGGAAATCTAGGGTATTGCAATAGTTTAAGATAAAGAGATGGTAGTCTGCACCAGGGTGGTGGCTAGGTGAGTGGAGAGAAGGAGATTTTTACAAGAGATGTCATGAAAAGTAGAAATGACAAGAAATGGCAAGAGATTGGATATGTGGGGTAAGAGTAGGGAATGAGTTGAGGATGATACCAAGGTTGCAAGCCAGGGGTACTGGAGAATGTAGCAACATAGAAGGATGTAATAGAGGAAGAGAGGAGAGTTTTTGGGGAAAGATAATGAGTAGTACTCAAATGCTTGTAGAATGTTGGATAGATGAATGAACTTGGTTAAGCTGGCCCTTGGACAACAGACACAAAGTTGGTCCATCATCAGGGCTGTACTGTAAGTCTTACCATCTTGATATGACCTGTCAGAGCTTGTGCCCACCTGACAGCCTTCAAGAACTCAGGGTCATCTCTGGGCCATGATGAGTGACTAGAGGAAGACTGTATTGGAGGCTTCTAGTTTTCCAGTATAAAATCCAAACAGAGGATTTTATACATTATCCTGCAGATAGTAGAGAACCTCTTGAGATTATTTAGTAGGGGAATAAAGTGGTTACCTGACATTAGGTTCATGTATGCATAATAAGGTATAGAGTGTCTTGCATCAGTGTGAGAAAACCACTTCATTATTCTCTCAAAAAAACATTTTATCATTCCAGCACTTAAGCTAGGACCCTGCATGCAGTGGGTATTTAACAGATGTTTGCTCAATTGAATTTAATTCAATTGTAATGCTAAAACAATGTATAAAATTTCACTTTAGAACCCCTTGATCTAGTTCTGTCTCCCAAGAATTGATTAATAGAAGGATACTCAGAGCTGGCAACTAGGATGGTGACAAGCCTTAAGTTCATGTCATTTAAGACTCTGTTGAAGAAACTGGTGATGTTTTGACTAGAAAAGAGAAGACTGGGATGGAGGGGCATGAGAATTTTGTTGTTGTTGAGCTGTTTCTGTTGTGCCTGACTCTTTGTGATCCCATTTGGAGTTTTCTTGGCAAAGATAACGGAATGGTTTGCCATTTCCTTCTCCAGCTTATTTTACAGATGAGGAAATTGAGGCAAACAGGGTGAAGTGACTAGTCCAGGGTCATAATAGCTAAGAAATGATTTACCTTCAAGTCATGACAAGGTTATTACTTTGGTCAGACTTGCATTTTGCCTCAGAGAAAAGAACTAGGAGTAATGAATTCCAAAGTAGCAAATTTGGGCGAGGAATGATCACGCCAATAATTAGAGCTATTCAGATGGAATGAGTTGCCTTGGGAGATGGTGAGGTTGGCTATAGCCCACGCCTGGAATGCTCTCCCTCTTCCTCTCTGCCTCCTGGCTTCCCCATCTGCCTTCAAGTTTCAGCTAAAGACTCACCTTTGGCAAGAAGCCTTTTCTAGTCCTCGATATTAGTGCCTTCCCTCCGCGGATTATCTCTAATTCATTGTGAGTACAGCCTTGTTTGTACATAATTGTTTCCATGTTGTCTGCCCATTAAATGCTTCATTAGAGATATTTAAGCAAAAGCTCACTAACTTTTTGGCAGGTATGTTGCAGAGGGAAATCTTATTCAGATTTGGGTAGATCTAGTGGCTGTTAGGGTCCCTGCCAATGGATATTTCATGATTCTGTGAGTTTAGGCGGCCACCTTGAAGCTCCATTAAAAGGACCTCACCTATTACTTTCTCTTCCGTCCTTATTTCTGTTTTAGTCCTTCTCATTCTTAATTTCGCTTTGTCTCAGGCCTGAGCACTGGTGAAGCGGGACGGTGAAGTTTCCAAAGCCTTGACTGTTAAGGTGTTTCCACAGTAACACAACAGGGGTGGGCTACATTATTAGTCACTTACCTTTTTGTAAAAAAGTGAACACATATTAACTTCCTAAATCTGGGTTTAGAGCCCACACCGAGGAACAAGAAACAGCTCAAAAGGAATCACACAGCAGTCCTGTTTTCCTGTGGCTTGGGAAAGGGGAACCGTGCAGGAACAGATTAGGTTTTGGAATGTCTCTTCACCTTTTGGTAAAGGAGCCAGGATAAGTCCAGGGCTGCAGTGAAATCTTGCTGATTTGACCCCCAGCTCAGAGCCCCTTGAAGGACTGGGTCCCTTTGTCCTTTATGTTGTCTCTACCTTTGCAATATTTCTCGTATTTGCTCCCCTCTCTCCTGACGCTGCCACAACCTTGGTCTTGGAACTCGTCACCTTGCACTTGGACTATTGCAGTCATCTGTGGCAGGCTCTCCCTGCCTCGAGTCTTTGCTTACTCTAAACTATCACATGCCCACATGACCTCTGGTCTGACCACGTCCTCTCCCTTCCCCTCCTCACTCCCTCGGTAAACATCAGTGGCTCCCTCTTACCTCCAGGATCAAATCCGAAGTCCTTTGTTTGGCTTTTAAAAGCCTTCATAACCTGACACCTCCCTGTCTTCCCAGTCTTCTTACACCCTGATCCCTACTACACAGTGGATTCCTTGCAATTTCTTAAACACAACACCTCATCTCCTAACTCTGGGCATTTCATTGCCTCTACTCCACGCCTGGAATGCTCTGCCTCTTCCTCTCTGCCTCCTGGCTTCCCTGTCTGCCTTCAGGTCTCAGCTAAAGTCCAACCTTTAGCAAGAGGCCTTTTCCAGTCTTCCTTAATCTTAGTGCCTTTCTTCTGTTGATTATCTCCAACTTATTGTGTCTAGAGTCTTGTTTGTACAACGTTATTTGCACATTGTACCCCCATTAGACTGTGAGCTCCTTTTGGGCAGGGACTGTCTTTTACCTTTCTTTGCATCCTTGGCTCTTAGCACAGTGCCAGGCACATAATTTGAGTCTGCTGTTCAGCCTTTCTGAATGGCTGCTATATTTGGGACCTTAAGATCATAGAACTGAGATCTAGAAAGGACTTTAAAGATAATCAAATTCAACTCCTGCTTTCCAGATGAGAAAACCAATGGGCAGATTGGGGAAATGACTTACCTTAGGTCATACAAGTAGAAAGTAGTAGAATTAATATTTAACCCCAGGTCTCTTGATTCCAAATCCATTGCATTCTTTGACTGAGGTCAAGGTATCTCGACATTTGTTGTTAATCATTCATTCGTATCTGACTTGCCATGACCCAATGGACTCGCTCATGGGGCTTCCTTGATAAAGGTACTGGAGTGGTTTTCCATTTACTTTTCCAGTATATCTCCATTTTACAGATGAGGAACTGAGGCAAGTAGGGGCTAAGTGACTTAACCCAGGGTTACACAGCTAGTAAATATCTAAGAGGATGACTGAAATATAGAAACGTGGAATTTCAGAGTCATAAGGAACCTTAGTGACAATCTAGTCTAACCCATTTCTGATAAAGAAGCACCACTAGGACACACCTGACAGGTAGTTCCACTAGCCATAGCTGAAGAGCTCTGCAGCCATCATAGCCAACAGTCTTCACAGGCACTAAGTGCAAGAATTCATAAGCGCTACCAAGTTAATACCTTTTTGGGAAAAGCACTCCTATTTGCTTTGTACTGACCACATATCTGAACACCCAGTGGCATTGAATATTTGCCCTAATTGCAGAGGGTGATAGCATATTAGAACAGTAAGAGTATTAGATTTAGAGCCAGGGAAGTTGGGTTTAAATCCATTATTCTCTCTAGCCTTCAGTTTCTTCCTGTGTAAAATAAGGGGAACCAAACGATCTATAAATTTCCTTGCAATTCTGAGTGGATGCTCTTATGTTCTTCTCACCACCCCAAGGGGCTTGGAGGGTCTTCCTAGTCTTTCTTTATCAGCCCTGGCCCCAAATCTAATATCCACTTCCACATTTTAATTCTCCACAATGCAAAAATATATCGCATCCCTCTGGCTTATGCAGATGTATAAACCACACATGCATGTTTTTTGGGCAGCCTCATTCACTCCCCACCCTGTTT